TAGAGGTCTCAGGAAACCTATTTTAAAGATGAAGTAAGTATTACCTATGATGTGGCATACAGGTTTATTGTTAGAGGCTTTACAACATAAAATGGTATTTCTAAATGCTTTGAAAATAACAAACTACTTGGATGGTTTAAACACCCTTTTCATTTTGCTTACATTTTGATTTTTCTTTATATATCCTCTCTTCAAAGACAGTACATAGGCAAACTTAAACTCACATCTGTCCACACACAGTCACACGAACTCTAAATTCATGGGTTTCTCGTCCGTGAGACTCCTGCCATGTTGTGGGGTGAGGTGGTACTCACAGACTCTCTTATTAACGGAACCACCTGCTACCCAGACCCAAGGGTACCGTATCAGCATCTTTACCTTAAATGTCCACTCATATTTTGGAAATCAACTTCCTCCTCTGAGTCTTGGCTTCCTCATTTGAAAAGCGAAGCAGTTGAACCAGAGCTGACCTCCATGGTCATTGAATGGAACTCATCTGCCCCCTCCGCACATGGCAGAGGCATGAGGGACCCAGGCCCAAGCTGCCAGCTGGCATAAGTTGCTTTTGCTACTGAGAGAGAGTTGCAGGGGCAGTGCTTTCTGAATAATCCTGAGCCAGATCCCATGACCATCCCTGAGGGCCTACCTCGCAGCCTAGGCCCACAGTACTTTCAGGGGCTGAGAAAATATTTTAATTTTCTTTCTTTTTTTTTTAATTCAGAAGAAAAAAATGAATATATAATCACAAAGCTAGTCAGGGTTAGTTAGATTCATCTTTCTACCAGAACAGTCATAAAATATAATTTTTTATATATTTTATGGAGGAAGGAACCCACAGAGGCCTGCGAAAGTCTCACGTGACCCTGTCCACATCCTCTGCTCCGTGAGATTTGCTCTCAGCCTGACCCTGCTGCCTAATGCCACCTCCGATGGCACCCTCCTTACCCACTTTCTTGTGCTTCCTCACTGCCTTCTGATGTCCTAGGGAGTCAAAGTGTAATCTGGTTTTTCTAGGTTCTTTGGGTAGCCATTGCCTCATTCCCTTTAAGGATCTCATTGGAGCAATGAAACCCCTTGGATGATCTCAAAATAGAGCCCAACATTCACTGGAAAGCTCCGAAAGCTGAGGTTCTGTGTTAGCTGAATACCCCAGATAACGTCGGACCAACAGAAACCACTTTTACTTTGTTTCAGCCCTGCTATTATTCATTTGCTTATTACACCTCAGCTAATACCTCCAAGGTTTGAAGTTCTTTGCAAGAGTATAGGTAATAAAATAGAAACCTGTGCAAAGAAAAGTTGAAAAGTCAGAGACAAAGACAATCAGTACAGAGGAGGTGGCAGGAGAGCCCCAGGTAGGCGAGGAAAGGCCCTTGGCAAATTTCTCTGCAAGCTGCCCGATGGTCAGAGACAAAAAAGAAACCACCAGCCTGGTTTCAGCACCCACGCTGTCCTCCCAGAGTGTGCGGTTCACAGAGCTCCAATAAGCAGGCGTATTGTCTCCCCACATAGTCTGGTGTCTCGTGTATCCTCAGCCAGGACCTCCTCCTGTCAACAGACTGCGAGCTGCACACCCCTATGCCCTGGGGCTCCTGACTCCAGGGCCCCCCTGGGCCTCTTCACTCAGACCTTCACTCCACTCAACTCAAATCGAGGTGCCGGGAGGTTAGCAGTAGGGAACAAATAGTCAGGAAGTTGGCAGAGCAGCTGGGGATCAGTACTTACACTAGCATACCAGGCAAACAAGGAATAATCGGGTGCTAGAAGGAGAGGTGCAGACACACGGCAGGAGGAAAGCATCAGGGAAGGGCCGCGAGGAGGGGCCGGTGGCCAGAGAGCGCTCGCTCGCAGAGGTTAAAGGGGCTTGGGCCCTCCTGGGGACTGACAGCCCCTCCTGTTGAAACTGCCAGCCCAGGGAGAGATCTGCGTACCCAGCCCTGCCCCATGGGCGAATTACGGTCCTGCTGGTGACTGTTGTCTGTGAATTGTAAGGCCCTGGTCTTGAAAGAGGCTGCCTTCTCTGGTTCACTCTCTGGTCCTATGCTCCGTGCTCTGGCCCAGGGTACACGTTGTTGCCCAGCATTCTCTACCAGACACTTGCAAACACCTGGCTTGACAAAGTCTGAGTTAGTGCTCCCCAGGAGACAGTGTAACAGGGTGATCTAGGCTCAAATAATGGCTCTCACCAAGGTGGGCAACTTGCGCCTCTGTTGTCCTGTGGGCTGAGGGAAGCCCCAGCTCACTGAGGAAGAGATGGCCCCCTCCACCCCATCTCAGCCTCTCCTGTGCTCCTCCCTGCCAGGCCGAGGTTGGCCTCCCTTCCTGGGGCGCTGACTTCACCTGGCAGAATGTAGTGCCACAGACATGGGGAGGGTCAGGTTAGTCCATGAGAGGGATGGGCACTGGCCAGTGAGTCAGGAGGCTCCGCTTCTAGTCCTTTCTCCACCATTAACTACCCGGAGCAGGGGAGCTTACTCCAGGTCTCAGTTTCCCCAAGTGTCCAAGGGGGAAGTTGACTTGGGTGACCCTTGACACCCTGAAACCCTCTGACTCCACTGACCAGTCAGCTCCTGGGAGGAGTGGGCTGCTGGGGCGTCCCACGCCCCTCCACCTCGACCTATTTGCCGTGATAGTGTCATGCATGGAGTTGGCATTGCAAAACTGTGTCGCATGCGTGTGCTTTCTAACCCTGAATAACAGCGTTCCAAGGGGACTCGCCACACGGGACGAGGTGATGGTGTCAGCTCCCCTTGGGAAGGCATGGTGGCAGAGGGTGCTTCTCACATTGGCGTCTACACTGCCGAATTCATCAGAGACTGAGCATTACAGGTCTAACTACCTGGCATGCAGAGGGGTCCCCAAAGCCCCACAAATGTCAGGGACACAGTGTTGCTGTGGTACATTTGCCCGGCCTCCCTCATCTCAGACTCTCTGTGCCCGTCCCCATGCACCACCCCACACTCCACAGCTCAGCCTCACCCCTGCCCCACACCTGGACACATTATCAGGCAACTTGAGACATCAAGCACCTAAGGCTCCACACCTCTGAAAAGGAAGAAGAGGGCAGGCCACCGGTGAGTGGAGCAGAAAGGAGGAGGAGACACGCGCGGAGATGGAGAGCAGAGAAGGAAGGCAGGAACAGGGCAACTGCCACTCATTTCTCCAAGGACAGTTCTCGAGAGTGGAGTTTCCTTGAAGCAGCGTGCTCCTGACTGTGGTGGAGGGAGGCGGGGGAGGGCACAGGGAAAGGAGCTGGATTTCATACGCTCAGGCAGAATTCTACACACAAAGCGACCCTCTGGTTCCTAGAAAAGCCCTGCCCCTAGGGAACGGACAAGGTCTGTCGTCATAGACAGAGGCAGAGCGGAGCTAGGGACAAGGTCTGGCACGGTCGAGAACTTCCCGAGGGGGCTTCCGGGCCCCTACATATCCCTCTGCTTTCCCCTCCACACCTTTGCCCATGCTGGCCCCTTGGCCTGGAATGCCCTTCTTTCTCACCTGTCAAAATTCTGCCCTCCTTTCAAGGACCCATTCAGACACCATGACCCCAGGGAGACTTTTCTGGGCTCCTCCATTGGATGAGATCCCTCCTTGAAACAGCCTGGAACACTGTGTTCTTTGCTTCCTCCACTGCCCATTAGAGTAGAAAAGTCGGTCTTCCATATTAGACAGTGAATTCTAAGAGGGAAGGAACTTTCTAATTCATTGGGCTCCCAAGGCACCTATCTTAGGTCTCCCCGCCATGGTCCAGGCTCATAAACATCCATGACCTGCTGAGTTATCAACCTACTTTATTGAGCAACTACTTTCTGTAGGCAGTGGAAAACTCCAGGCAGAAAGGGCTACTAAGGACTGTCAGGCACAGCCTGCCCTCCAGGAGCTAACAGGGATGCCCATCAGTGCAAGAACGTTGTGCTAAGTGCTCAGTGAGGGCACAGCCAGAGGACACTGTGGTGGCTGGCATGGTCAGAATAAAAAGAGGATCGCGTCAGCACGAAGGGATTACAAAGCAGGGAGGGAGGAGCAGGTCACTGCAGACAGGTGGTCCCTTCCCTTGCTTCATCCCCCTTTCCCTGATAGAATCTTCCAGTGAGCGAGATCCTGGGCCATGCCTGCTTCTCAAATCAGGGGAAGGCAAATGGAATTGTGTTTGAAGAAAAGGGTCAGAGAGGGCAGGTCCAAACTGGGAGGATGCTGGGCTTCTGCCAAAGTCAGCCGGGTCTGTGGGATCGCCAAGTCCAGG